TAAGTGTGTTCCACACTTTAATACTTCAACACAGTTATCTTAGTTATCTTTATTACAACCAATTTTTGGATTAATTTGTGTTGATTTCTTTGTATGCATGGATTACTTTGAGTGTTACTGATATATGGTGTAAATTTGATGTCTATGACCCCAATAGAAAAGTATTTATAGGAAAAAAAAAAGATTTTTGTAGGGACAAAAGTAAATCATGGTTTCATGTATTCATGTGTTGCAATCCACATACCGATAATACGCACTAATCCACAATACTTATTATACTCATCCATTTTTGCACCAGTCCTACATAGCTCACATTGTGGCATCTCAATGCTCTTAGGGGAGATTAATATTACCAACCACATAGAAATCAGCATATATAAAAATACAGAATATTAACTGCTTTAATTGTGGGGTTTGTACCTAGCAAAACATTTGGGCTTGGTAGGGATACCAAAACCCCATCAGTGTTCCTCAGGATACCTTCCAAAACTCCAATGATCTGTGCATGGGTAAGGGCAAGATGCCTGCCTGAAGGTAGCACTTTGTTCCTCTATGCTCCATATTGCACTTTCTCTGGCATTAGCTCCATGACAATTTCTCCATCCAGCAACTCGTACTTCCGTTTAAAACCTACACACTGGCAATTTGTCCCTTCCTACTTGCACTTCGTACCCATAAAGAAAACATTTTGTACTCCAGTACTTAAAATACTGCAAAGCAATGTATTGTGTCAAAAATATGGGTAATGCAGACAGAAAACACTAATCAACCAAGCCACTTTTCTCAGTATGAGGCCTTTACTCATATAAAACTATCAAATCAGTACAACCTATATTTCAGCAAGTAAGATGCTTCTACACATAGTTTGCCATCTTGTTTTTAAAGGTTCTTCTCATTATAAACAAAGGTATGTGTATGTCTGACAGGTAAGTTGTTTTTAAAATGTAAGCAGTTTCATATTGTAGGTCTTGTTGACGGCCAGGCAAACAGAGCTCCCTGCACTTACGCTTCCCACGTGTCCCAGGCCTGTCATTTTAAAGCTCTCTGTACCTCCAGTTTCCTGCTTTGGTTTGTTTAAAGTGAGAATTCCTTCATCATGAGGAACATTGCGCATGTGGGCGTGTGCGTGAGTGTGTGAACCTGTGTTCAACCAATAAATGTGTGCGCCGGCGTGGCTTTATGCGTGTGTCCATTTGTGTTTCAACGCGGCGGCCTTAGCCTCAGCCTGCCTCCTCTCCTTCCACAGCTCCAAATAAACAACTTTTGTCAAGTCCACCATGTTTGTCTCTGTGTTTATTTTTTCTGTTTTTCTGCCTGAGCACTCACACCTCCCCCAAGCCCTGTTTCCACAATCCCCTTCTCTCTTTGGCTTCCTCTCTCTTAGAACATGGCACTCTGAATATACATATTGTTTGTGAATCACAGGATGTCATTTTAAATAGAGTGCTTCCTTCAGTTTGTTTTACCATTTAGCAACATGTTGCCACAGAATTAATGACTCACATAACATTATATTGGGGAAAACATCCATAAACAAAAGAGTTTATTATTGCAATGTCAACTTAAGCTCCGCCTCCAGGTGGTTATACAGTGAGTGGTAGCTGCTGTATGAACGTAGAAAGAATCTGAGTGTGGTAACTGCTGCTATATAATAAATATCACCATATAGAATATCTCTCAATCTTCTTACAAATATGTTTTGCTGTAAACCAATTATTAAGTACATCCTCTCGAAAAATTACAACATAATTTAACAATTTGAAATCTCAGTAATTCAAATAAAAAAGAGAAAATCATATAGATTCATTACACACAGATTGCTGTATTTTAAGCATGTATTTCTGTTACTTAAAATTAATATGCTTACAGCTAATGGAAACCCAAAATGCGACTTCTCGGAAAATGCATATTTTGCATCAGGCCAATAAAAAACATATTTTTAATACAGATGTGTTACAGTATGGCCAACATGATTACAGGGAAGACTGAAGTCTTGACAGTTGTCCAGCAGACTGACACTCTCCACAAGGAGGGTAGACCACAAAATACCATTGCTAAAAAAGCAGCCTGTTCACAAAGTACTGTATTTAACCATATGAATAGAAAGTTAGGTAGAAGAAAAAGTAGAGTCTAAGTAAGAATTTGGGGAAGATTCACAAGGCATGGACACAAGCTAACAGACACTCAGATGTTTCCAGGACATGGACTAAAACTGTCCCATTACTGTATTGAGCCACTCCTGAATCAGAGGCAATGTCAGAGGCGTCTTACAGAGCACTTCATGCGTCCCTCTGCTGACAAGCTAAATAGAGGTTGCTGATTTCTTTTTCTTTTTGCAGGACTTAGTACCTGCCCACATTGCCAAAAGTGTAAAACATTGCTTTTATGAAAATTCTATAACTGTGCTTGACTGGGCAGCAAACTGGCCTGTACTAAACCCCATAGAGAAACTATGAAATATTGTCAAAAAGAAGACAATAGACCTCAGAGCCAGAAACATCAATGATGAAGCCCACTATTAAAGTAACCTGGGCGTTTTTTCAGAAATTCAATTTAGGGTTTTGATTAGCTGTAAGTCATGATTATCAAAATTAACAGACATAATTTACTGAATAATATTCAACAAATTAGAATATTATTGAAAAGTTAATTTATTTCAGTAACTCAATTCACTGAGTGAAATACATTATATAGACTAATTACACACACTGATGTTTTTAAGCCTTTCTATCAGTTAAGTATGATTATTTTCTGCTTACAGCTAATGAAAACATTTAAGTTTAGAATATTCAATCGGACCAATAAAACATTTTAAGACAGAAATGTGTGCTTAATAAAAAGTATGTTTAATACCTGCTTAAAGATTGTTTTTTTCCAAATGTAATTTTAATCTGACAAGCAAGCGTCTTCAGAAAACATATTCTAGTTTATTCATCATGACTGTATATCATAATGTGTGGAATGAATCTAAACATCAGTCAGTTTTTACAATGAATTATTGATATTACTGATTCATTTTCTATGATTTCATTTTCTAATTTATTAAAATGCACCTGTATACCTTTTTTCCACCAGAAGAACAAAAACAAACATGGCTTTCAGCCACAGAAATTCCTCCAGACAAATATTTTGTACAGTGTCCACATGTAACAGGATTCTCCTAGATGTTTTTAAATTGTGAATTTACAGACATTGACTGGTGCTCCAATAACTAAAAATTAACTAGCAACAATTTAGACAGAGAGGGACTGAAACAACTCAATGCAATATGAAGAATCACACTTAGGCTAATCTATTTTCTTTTTTTCTTTTTTTTTTTTTTTTGCTGTTACTCCAAGTAAACATTGTGAAGCGGGCAATCAGGAAGAACTGAAGTTTCATAAGATTTACTTCTTTAATTGTAGGACATATAACAGCAACATTTAATCCTGAGAAAAAACAGCTATTCCACACTGATCTTTACACACACTTTAAATTGGAGCTTTCTGGGCAAAGCTTTGGATCTCACCAGGATTTGGATCATTTGCATACTGTGCCGCATTGGTTCAAGAAAACACACCATAATGGAAAAAAAAAAAAACTCTTTGTGCTAGGCTTAAGTAGTGCCCTAGTGAGAAGTATGACGATGTGTATAACACGTTGTCCCTTGTAAACCATAAAATAGTGGTAAAAATTAAATTGGACACTTTTAAGTTCTTGGAGTGTAACTCAGGAATGTTACTCCAGCTTCTAGCTAACTTCAGGGAAAAGCTGATGGCTCACTTCACAGCTTGATTTAATCAATTGGAGGCCAAACAGAGAACAATTTGGGTGGTAATGGATGACAACAAATAACTTTGCTTGAGCAGGCTGGGGAAATCAAGCAAACTAGGCTAACTGCCAAAGTTTCTGATTTAGAAGGCCAGAGCTGTCAGAAAAACCTAGTGAGTCCTTTGTGGTCTTGGTATGTTTTGGGTCCTTCTAAAACTGATCCACAACCCATCTTTACTGTTCTGGTTGAGGAAAAAAGGTTTTTGTCTATCATTTTATAGTAAAATGCTGCATTGGCCCTTTAATGTGGTGATGCTGCTGTCTTCCCTTTAGAAGAAAAAACCATGATGTCTCCTCCATGACTGACTGTAGGGATGGTGTTCTTCTGGACATGCTAATCATTTCTGTTCATTCTAACGCAATCATCATCTCTAAATCAGTTAGATGTTCACTGGTAAACTTAGTACTGGTTTGTACATACTTTTATAGAGGGTGACTGCAACATTAACCAATTATGGCATAATGTGTTACCAATGGCTTTCTTGGAGACAGTGGTCCTATCTTTAGGTTAATGGTCTTCCAGTCCATTCCGGCCTTCTACAACATCTACATCTACCTTCTTGATTTGTATGCCCTTTGACAATTCCTTAGTCTGTATATGGTGGTGGAGAGGTTGCAGTGGAAGAAATTATACAGTGAACAGGTGTGATTTTCAAATACATCCTGCTGAGGGTCAGGAGTAATATTGATTGATTGATTGATTGATTGATTGATTGATTGATTGATTGATTGATTGATTGATTGATTGATTGATTGATTGACATCATTGCTGATGTATTTACCTGTAGGAATGATGTTAACACATACTTGCTGGTACTTTCCACCAGTAATCCAGGGAAAGACGTAGCAGAGCTGTACTTTTTTTGACACACAGCTTCTCAGCTTGGACATCATTTATAAGTAAGAGTTGGTGAAGATGGAGCAAGAAGATTCTTATGGAACCCAAGGATTCTCCTGCTATTCCTGGCCAGGGAACAGTAAACAAGTGATTATGGAAGCCGGACAGAGTGTGTGTGTGGGGGGGGCTGTGTGGTGAAAGGTAAAGACTCAAGATAGCCATCCAGAGCAAGGCCTCAGAGACTTATACCAAGAGTTTCATACTGCTTGTTTACTAAGAGCATCCCTCTGGCAGGAGTAGAAATTACACATGTGGAATGAGTAACTTATTTGGAAATTGTACAGAACATCAAGCACTAGGTGGCTCAGTTGGTACAGCAGCCGTGCAATGTGCAGAGGCTATAGTCCTCGACACGGTTGGTTGTCCTGGGTTCAATTCCTAATCCCAGGCCATTTGTTGCATGTCTTTCCCTTCAACAGTGTAAAAAGGAATGGAAAATGTACACAACACAAACTGATAAATTCTAACTTTAAATCATCAAATTCAGAAGACTTGAATCGATTTGCAAAAGCTTTTGTCACAGTGTTTTGTAGTCATAGCATTATGAAACTTTAAAATGTGAATTTTCTTTGGACATTTTTTTATTTCAACAAGGAAAAAGAGTTTAAGAGCCCCTAAATCTGGTTAATTATTGTAAAATAAAAGAAGAAATAGCAGTGGCAGGGTTCCCCTGATGCAATGCATACTTAGCTCAAAACTTCAAAAACAGTTTGGAATGACAGGAAAGGCAGAATGTCCTTGCTGGCTGACGGAGTTTCCAGTGAACAAACATTTATCTGTTTGTGCACCTATTTTGCTTCTCTTCTCCACAAAGAGTCCTCTAACATCCTGAAAGAGCCTGCTAACATGCCTTCACACTGACCACACCAACACTGCCAGCACTCAGGGTAAAGAGAGACAGGACAAAAGGGGAGGTCACCACCTCCTTCTTTACTTGACCTCTCTGTCCACGCCCTCAATCTCTACCCACAACCCCATTCCTCTTTTTTGTGCCCATTAAGAGAAGACAATGTCTGTCATTGGATGTCTTTGAAGTTCCCCAACACACTATCCCCATTCACAGCTGAATGATTGCGCCTATTGTTCATACAGAATATAAGTGTGAGTGGATAAAAAGAAAAAGGAGCCCCTGCTCACATCCCGATCAGAGCTTTTTCATCGCCGCTACTGATTAAACTTAAAAACATCTGAGTGAGGTAATATAGGGTTGCTTCAAGAAACTGTCAAGATTAAATGGTGGCATAACATGTATCTCGTAAAACAGAATGAAACACGTTTGTCGCACTGGATATGGAGGGTGGCAGAAAGTCAGTGCCTTGAAATATCCTTGTGGGCCTTCAGAAAGGAATCCCTAAGAGGCCTTTAGCATTCAGAGAAGAGCAAAAAGCATCAAAATAGCACTAATGTATAACTGAAATTGCTGTTACTCCATGTAATTGTTTAATGAAGCCATTTTTTAGTTCAATGGACAGAATTCTGCTAGTTAACTGATACCACCGCACTTACATAATGGTAAACTACATGAACCCTGTCTTGAATGTGAATCACTGCTAATAAAAGAGTTGTTCTTTTAGAAGAAGATAAAATATTGGTACAAACAGATAAAAAGCACATGTGCTTCCCTTTTAGGGTTAATTTAACCTCTCTTTCAAGCCTTGTTGATCACTAATATCACTTCAAGACACGAGGTGAGGAGAAAGTGGGGACTATTCTGATAAAAAAAACCTGTTAGTGCCTGCAAAAGACTACAATGGGGGAGAAGCTACCCTGCCAGCAGGTCGGTGACCCTAAACATACAGCCAGAGCAGCAATGGCATTGGTTTAGATCAAAGCATGCTTATGTGTTAGGATGGCCTAGTCAAACTCCAGTCCAAGCGAAGCTGGTAGAGAAATAGCCCAAAAGCCATGCTGCCTTAATTGCACTGAAAGGTGGTTCTACAAACAATGTATTGAATGAGGCTGAATATTTTTCATCTTAATATTTGTAGAAAAATACTGAAATGAATGCATGTTGTTTTTCCCCTTCACAACAATGTGCTGTTTTGTGTTGGTTGGTCATATAAAATCCCAAAGAGAAACTTCTGTTTGTGATTTTATTGTGAAAAAGTTTATGGCGTATGGATACTTCTGTAACATATCAGAACATTACAAAAAAGGATTTAGTGTTTTTAGGTCCTACTGTAAATCTAACCTCAAGTGTACAAAAATACAAAACAGATTTCCCATCACCATTTATTATACCAAAATAAAGTCAAAAGCTGCAATAACTTGACAGAAGCAACTTTTGATGCCCATCAATCTAGCGAGATGCTTTAAAGCTATTTCTAAATATTTATGACAAATGACCAAAAAATCAATCTCTATCCTGGAATCTTCAGGACTGGAAGGAAAAATGTTAAAATTCATTACAGTAAAATTTGAAAAAAATCGGATTGTTTGGAAGCGATGCCACGAGACACCTAGTTTATATGTTTATAAGCATTACTAGCTAATGTTTGCAAGGCAACATCTTAAAGACAATACTTGTGGAAAATAGCTTTTGGACAGATGAGACTAAAGTAGAGATGTTTGGCTCTAATGCATAGTTGCATCTCTGACTGAAACACAGCACACAGCACAAACAACTCATACCAACTGTGGTGTGAGGGGTGGTGGTGGGGGAGTGATAACTTAGGCTTATTTTACATTATTTTCAACTCTGCTGTATACCAATGTGTTCCAGAGTCAAATGAGAGGCCATCTGTCTGACAGCTGAAGACTGGGTCAAACTAGGTCGCGCATTTACAATGCTGCACAAAGAATATAATCTTTCAACCCTGGAAGAACAGGTAGTTTTTATCCCATTCTGGACATTATTGCTAAAAAATGAAAGATGCATTTTTCTTTTTACCATGACATTCATTTTATTAGTCTCTTTATCACGGTCTTACCGTCAGAGCGGTGGATGCAGGTGTGCTGGTTGTCGCTCAGGAAGAAGCCCTCTGTACACTGACACTCGTAGCTTCCCATTGTGTTGACACACACTTGTTGGCATCCTCCATTGTTGTCCAGACACTCATCCACATCTGGTCACACAGAAAGACAGAATAGGAGCAAGGGATGACATTAAGCAAGGGAAATAAAGTCAGATTTTTGTGACAGCAGTGGAACACCAGCTCAAATGTTACTGAGCTCTATAAATAACAACATTTGAGGGAGAGTTTGTTTGCTCAGCAATGTTCAATTAGAGGGGTGACACAAGAGTCAGGAATGTTGTATGGACTCAATAGGAACAGGCATGTTGTCCTATCACACTGACAGGTGGATTCTGGCACAGCAGATGACGCTAAAATAAAAGCATGGTGTTAAGTGGTAAGAGACTACAGTCCATTCTTTGGTGAAAAAGATTGTTTATATTGTACTATGTTGCTGAAAGGCTTATAGACTTTTACTAGGGTATCTTGTTGGGACTGAAGTGAACTGGAGACGTGTTATAGCCTACTTTCTTAAACAGTAATCAAATGTGACAACCTGTCTATGTGTGTGTGGGTATGTGCAAACCAGGGCCTGACAGGGTGACTTTGCACTCTGTTTAGTCTGAAGTGCTGGGACAGGCCTCCAGTTGTAGGCGGTGCAGACAGGTCACAAAACCAAAGAGGAGAAAGAAAAACAGATGCCAAGGGGCTGCAACTGGACTGACAGAGTACTGGACAACAAATGATACATGTAGCTTTAGAAGTCTAAAAAAGCAGTGTTCTGTTTTAAACCTAAACAACTAAATCAATAAGTCCTTGCTGTGTCTGCAGCCCCAGTGTAATATTAGTTTAGACAAAACGCACAAAATAAATATTTTTATAGAGGGACAACTTGTGTACAAATGTGTTCAAATGAATCAATGAATGTATTCATCGGTGGTGAGATTTTTTGAGAACGTTGAACTTAGCTAGGTTGTTAGTTACCTTAGTAAAAGGCTCATTCTTGCGACACTAAACATTCTCTGCAAAAGTGAGTTTTGCTAGGGATGTAAAACGACAGCAAGACAGTGGTGAGGTGTGCTAGATGAGAGATGGTTTTACACACTATTTCTGACTGGACTCCCCAGGGACTTATGATGTTTGCAGATGACAGTATAATCTGCAGTGGGAGGAATGAGCAACGGGTGGTAGTCTGAAGAGGTGAATGTATGCTATGGTGTGAAGAAAACTAAAGGTGAGTTGTAGAAAGTCACAATACACATGTGTGAATGAGAGGGAGACAAGTGGAACAGCTAAGTGGATGGATTAAAGGTAGGATAGTTTAAGAACATTAAAGAGAAAACAGGCAACGTGGAGTGGGTGAAATGAGTGTCAGGAGATTTGTTACAGAAGGTTAGCTGCACGAGCAACAGAGAAGGTTTACAAAATGTTAGTAAGCTGTGCTGATGTCTGGTTTGAAGCTGGGGATGAAGCTATTAAGCTTTTCAGTGGAAGTGACCAGGATTAACAGGGTTAAAAATTAGTTCATCAGATAGACAGGTCAGCTTAAGCAATTTGGAGACAAATGTAGAGAGGAAAGCATGAGAGGGCTTGGATGTGTGCAAAAAAGAGAAAGATAGTAAACATATTGGACATAGGAAGTTAAATATGGAGCTGAGGAAAAGGGGAAGACCACACAGAAGGTTCCTGGATGTAGTGAATGAAGATATGAGGAGGGTTGCTTTTCAAATGACCAAATATTTTAGCTGACACTAATTAAAGTAATATCTGTAGTTGTGAATGAATTTGAATTAAATTCCTGATCATTCTAAATATCTTTAGCTGAGAGAAAGTAATAGGTAAATCATTGTCTTGTGTATATGTGGTTGTCAACACAGTGACAGTCAACACTCTCTGTTCTCTTGCTATGTGTCTGTGTATCAAAGTTCTAGACAACCTTATTAGTACTGTAAGAATCATTACATCATATAATTTTAGAGGCAGCAATTTTATAATTGTTGCTTTTCTGTTTCAAATAAAAGCACTTAATATCCTGTGGTTCAGTTTTCTTTTTAGCTATCAGATAATTTTGTAAACACATCTGGCTTATTGAGTTTACCCTGAGTGAAAGTTTCCTTGTAATAAACTCAGTTTCATGTTGACAGGGATACCAGAACACAGATTTAATGATAAAAAGCAGAACACCAAACATCTCAACGGCACTTCACAGTTTTTACTGAACTACAGTAAATGCTGGATATTCAGAAAGGTCTATAAAGGTCTAATTGACCTTAAAGATGATTTCACTGTGTTTTGCTCTTGCAGGGCCATACAGTTCCCAGATCTGTGTGTAAATATAGCAGTGTAGGTTCTACATTGTGCACGTAAATCATGTCCTTGGCAAACTTCTGCTTTGTTTTTATTGCACTTCCTAACACTATTTTAGGTTAATCCTGAG